CAGCTTGTTCGGTATGATCAAATCCTTCTGCGTCCGCCGATCTGATGCATACTCTACTCTGAACTGCTCGCTCTTGCCAAGCGTCTCGTTGATGTGCATCGCTTCGAATAAAGGCGAGAAATCCGTCTCATTTCCAGCTTCCTCGTTATTCAGCACGTCGAACTCGTCTGTCTCATCGGCCACCAGTTCGATTGCTGAGTTCAGTTTGAACTTCGAGAAACGTGTGTCGGCTTCGGCGCGTTCCTGGTTGCGCGTTCTCCGCACGTCGGTGTAGTAAAATGAGACCTCGCCCAAAAACTGCGCCGACTCGCGGATCCGGTAAAGCCACGTACTCAGGTCGTTCTTGACTGCCTCTCTGATCTGCTCTTGGGTCTGCGGTATAGATTTCTCAATCACATTCGCAATCTTGAACCGATTGATCTCCTTCAAATGAATCGTCTGTAACTCATCCAAAGCTCTTAACGCCGCGTAGTAGTTCTTTTCCCTCAGCATGTCCTGAACAGAGTTGGCAATGCGCAATACGTTCAAACATGCGTTCAGCGCTTGCGACGCTTCATCAATATTTTGGCGCACGCCTCGTGAATCAACCAGCGCCTTCTTCTGCTCCGCCAGCTTCTCAATACTCTCTTGGATCGACTCGTTAAGCTGCAAGATCTCACCACTCATCTGTACGGTCTGATCGCGTATCCTCAGTAGTGAGTCGACCGAGCTGACGAAATCTTGATGGTTCGCATTGCATATGCGCTCAATCTCACTTTCGCGATCGTTGGCATAGCGATCGAATGTGATTTGCAGTTGATTTGAGTAGCGTGCGTCTTTCATGATGGGGATCAGCTGGTCAATGTAGTCTGAGCCCACGGATGACTGGGAGATCTATTTCTGTCAGTACATACAATATGCGCACACTTGTACGGGTTTATCTACTTGTTTGATTGCCACCCATAGGTCATCATCAGGGTCCACGGCTGAAGGCATGATGGCGGTTGCCTGGTTTTGATTGTCGTGTGTGGTTACAGAACACGTCTGTTGTAAGCGTGGTAGTAGGTCACAGTGGAAGTTGCTATGTTCAGTCCTGGTATAAAGTTGTGGATGGTGGTGCTCGTCGTCGTCGCATATGAAACGCGTACCTGGCAAGTCCGCGGAAACCGTGCTAGTGGAAATACGACCTAGCTGACTTGGCGCGGCTCACTGACCCACTTCCCTTTTCGAGATGCCCCAGACCAGATGTTCTGCAGTCCAATCCCATCTTCAGCAAGTCAAATTGATATGAAGAACTGGCTCATGAGAATAGATGCACTGCGATAATCATGCCTGCTGCTCATATAGACTCCGGACGCTGCTTAGCAAGATAAAATTTGCAGCTGCACGTTATCCCGCTGTACATGGCGAAACAGGCCTGGAGAACGCGCTCAGGCAATAGTGAAAGAAATCTACGGCAAGGCCAGCAGCCTAGATACCATATTACACGCGTCTTACTTCGTGATATGTTCAAAATGTGGTTGATTTCGGAACATCCATCGGTCTGCCAAAGCCCAAGATCTCCAGCGTGACGCGCCGCGCATGCCCCACTTTCAGGAGCGATGACGGAGTAACCCCGCCGATTTCTCTCTATTCCGATCCGGAGTCAACGCCAAAGATATAATCTCGCCCCAAACTTTTTCACATCTTGGCAATCACATTCAAATCACACATCATGGAAGCCATCACAAGTAAGTCGAGTTTACGATTGAAAGAAGACTTGTCTAATTGACGACGCAGACAAAGTACAGAACCTTATGGGCAACGTCAGCGGGGCGGCTGCTGGAGCATACAGCGGAAAGTAGGTGCTCATTTGGGATTGTTGTGGTGGGATTTGGCTAACTGGGGATAGGACCGCTCTTCTGCTCGGTGCTGGTTTCGTGTAAGTTATCTATCAGCCCTCTCAATCTACAGCAAACTAATGATAATAGTACACGCCCAACTGTTGACGTGCTCGCGAAGTCTGGCGTCAAGGTCACAGTCGCATGCCGTACCCTCCAGAAGGCTCAAGACCTGGCTAAGGGCATCCCCAACACCAACGCCATCAGCGTACGAACGGATGCCCCACTCATCCGTAGCTCTCGCTAACAACACCCAGCTCGACGTCAACGATGCCGACGCCCTCGACGCCGAAGTCGCCAAGGTCGACGTTGTCATCTCCCTCATCCCCTACACATACCACGCGACGGTCATCAAGTCGGCGATCCGCAAGAAGAAGAACGTCGTCACAACCTCGTACGTCTCGCCCGCGATGATGGAGCTCGACGCCCAAGCCAAGGAGGCCGGCATCACCGTCATGAACGAGATCGGTGTCGACCCCGGTGTTGACCATCTCTCCGCCGTCCTCACCATCGACGAGGTCCACAAGGCCGGTGGCAAGATCCTCTCCTTCAAGTCATACTGCGGCGGTCTCCCCGCACCAGAGTGCTCCGACAACCCGCTCGGCTACAAGTTCTCCTGGTCATCCCGCGGTGTACTCCTCGCCCTGAGAAACCAAGCTGCGTTCTACCAGGACGGCAAGGTCAAGTCCGTCGAGGGCCCCGAGCTCATGGCCGAAGCAAAGCCCTACTTCATCTACCCCGGCTACGCCTTCGTCGCATACCCCAACCGCGACTCCACACCCTACAAGGAGCGCTATAACATCCCCGAGTGCCAGACCATCATCCGCGGCACTCTGCGCTACCAAGGTTTCCCAGAATACATCAAGTGCCTCGTCGACATCGGCTTCCTGTCCGAAGACCCCAAGGACTTCCTCAAGGAAGGCGAGAAGCGCACCTGGCGCGACGCAACCGCCAAGATCATTGGCGCCAGCAGCGACAAGGACGAGGACCTCATCTGGGCTATCTCGTCGCGGACAAAGTTCGCCAGCACAGAAGAGAAGGACCGCATCATCACTGGTCTCCGGTGGATCGGCCTCATCTCCGACGAGCAGATCGAGGCTCGCGGTAACCCGCTTGATACCCTCTGTGCTACCCTTGAGAAGAAGATGCAGTACGAGAACGACGAGCGCGACATGGTCATGCTGCAGCACAGGTTCGAGATTGAGAACAAGGACGGCAGCAAGGCTGTTCGTACTTGCACGCTGGCTGATTACGGTGACCCTAAGGGTTACTCTGCCATGGCTAAGCTTGTTGGTGTTCCTTGCGCGGTTGCTGTGCAGCAGGTGCTTGATGGTACACTGAGCGAAAAGGGTATCCTTGCTCCTATGAGCCCCGAGATCTGCCGCCCGTTGATGAAGACGCTTGAGGACCAGTATGGCGTTGTGTTTAAGGAGAAGACTGTGCCTATGTAAGGTGGTCGTCTGGATGCAAGAAGGAAGAAGGTATTTGATGGACATGGTAGGTATAGACAAAAGCTTATAAGCTTTGAGATGACTGAATGAACACATCAGTCGCTTCCAGATTCTGATCTCGTTTGGTGAAATGGTATCTCTTCTGCTGTATCTCGTGCCTAACTCTAAAAAGCTTTCCCTCCGCCTCTGCAACACATCCCATCTAGGTAATGCAAGCGCAGAACTTCTCCATCTAACACCCCGTATCTGTACAACCCACTCAATCCAGCCCAGCAGCCGGCGGCCTCCCACCAACAGCCTTCTTCGCCGGCGCACCACCACCGCCCATCCCACCCCCAAACATACTCCCCAGCATATCAAACATCGGGTTCCCCTGCCTCGGAATCTTGATCCCAAAATACATCTCGCCCACCTGATCCAACGCCTCCCCCCAATTCACATCCTTCAGATCCCCCGCATAATGGCTCTTGAGCTGCCTCCACAGACTCGGGTCCCCGCGCTCCACACTCAGCAACAATAGTCCTAGGAAATTGAGCAGAGGTAACGAAGGGTATACGGTGAAGTCGGAGGACTTTGTAGAGACGGGCTGCGTGGGCGGGTTCGGCGCGCGTTGCAGGGACGAGGTGAAGAGGAGGTAGTGTTTGTTTGCGGCGCGCAGGTTTCCTGTGAGTAGGTAGGGGAGGGTGCCGCGGGCGAGGTAGAGGGGCGCGGTGTGGGGCGCGTCGGAGGTGTACCAGGTGTAGTGGAGGGAGGAGAGGGTTGAGGCGGAGTCTTGGGTGCCGAGGAGGAGGTGGCGTTCTGCTTCGTAGGGTTCAAGGTCTGTGGGGAGGGTTGTGTTAGTATGGGGTTGTGGGAACGGGGATGGGGCTAGAGTAGGGGAGGTGAGGGGCGTACCTTCAGCGTATAGTCCTCCCGCGACATGGTGTATCTCTGGGTCGCCGGCGGGATAATCGCCAAATCGACTACTCCATGCTACCATCTCGCCCACGAACTTCTTCTTTGTAGGCTCATCCTTGGGAAAGGCGCGCAGAAGGCCTAGTAGCCGTCCTTTACTCTCTGCGTCTACCTTCACCTCCCCCTTGTTGTATACGTCGAGGAGGAATATGCATAGGTCGCCGCCTGAGCCACCTTGACCCGCTTGGAGAAGAGATAGCGCGCCAGAGTGTAGGATGGAGGTTGCGGATGCCCAATCGGAGGCTTTGGTGTATCGGGATGCGATTACGCGGAGTTGTTGGTGGGCTTCGTAGAATTGGCCTTCTGCGATTCTGGGTGGGGTTAGCGATAGCGTCTTGCGTAATAATGAGGTCTGATATTACTTTTCGCGTTGTCGCGCAAGCGTCTTTTCGATCTTGGAAGCCATATCGGGTGGTTGAGGGGTCGGTGGGGTGGTGCCTTGGTGTTGCTGGAGAGCTTCTGGATCGTGTTTGGGAGCGATGACGCAGCGCTACGGGCGGCTGCTGAACCCCACATTAGCCTCACGCACGTCTTCAACTCCTATCGCACATTATTGTTTGTGGTACTTACTTCTCAAGTCACTTCTTAATCCCCTCTGTTCTTCTTCTTTCGACGCGCTGCGCTAGTATCATCTCGCGACGCTGCGCAAAAAGAGAAGCCTCTCTATTCCGACGCGCGGAAGTTTGGCAGAGAGGCAAACTTCATGGACACAACAGGAGCAAAAAACATTGAGGTTTGCGGCAACCGAGACTCGAACTCGGAGCCCAAGCAGGCTACGTATGAAGCGTGGGAAGCTTGGATTTTACCCTTAAACCATTGCCGCGGTGAAGATTAGCTAATGATTGAACTTGTGCGTTTATAAAGTCATGGATACTACGAGTCCAGCGGTCTTTGATCCATGCAGCAATACAGTCACGGTATCTTGTGTCTGATTCATAGCTCCAAAGCTGTTATGGCGTCTTGTATTAGCCGACGCATGCAAATGGCGGGGCTGAGGTGGGATGAGATGGCAGGAGCGGGGTGCTGGCGCTTAGGTCTGCGCCTTCTCCATGCTAACTTACACTGCATGCGGCACAGCAATAACCTACAAGGTATCGAAAGTTTGTTACGATGCAACTTCTTTCGTCTCCAGCAATCTTCCATGATCCGATCATCCGAGGTGGGTGCACGACCGTGGATCTGGCAATTGGTTCGCTCGCAGCAGCTCACCTGCACTGCGCGAACAAGTGTCACGCTGTCGATGATACAGGGGTAAATTCTACTCGCAAAGAGATTGGATCAAGTCAGTCCGCAGAGGCGAGGGGCTGCATAACGTTTGATGCAGCAGTACCCGAAGGATCTCTAGTGTCCTGTCGATACCTCGCTCTTCCTCTTCCAAATTCACCTACGCCTCATCCTTTCATCAACGCATACACAACAGCATGGTCAGCGAAACCGACGTGGCAACGGCAGCCTTAGCCATCGCAATTTCCGCACTGGTCATCTCCGCTGGTCAATTCATCGCACAACTCTTTTCAACAGCGGACGGGTATCGTAGATGCCAGCGCTCCGTGATTGGAGACTGGTACAAACTGGTTGAGTTGAAATTCAGATGGTCAATTGTCCAACGTGGAAAAGATCCACTATCATTTTCCCCAGTGTGTTAACTATGAAAAGGAGCTCGTTTCGATACGAAGTCAAGGTGACGACACCTCATTTTCAGATCGCCACAATGACTGAGGGTGATCGGCGACGTTCTTTCTATTTGAACGAAAATGGACGACCTTCGAAGTACGCTGCCTTTCTCAGGCAAAATATATCACGATATCTGATTACTCCCTCGGAGCCAGCTGCACTGCTGGGTGATCGGGCCTCACGCGTTGGTACTTTTTGCCCTCCTAACCGCCGGGAAAAAGAAGGTAAGCATTCAATCTCCTGCAATACAAACTTTTCTGGGATGCAGACGCTGAGAAAGAGTTTCGACACGCGTAGACATAGGTGAAGATGTAGCTACATGGTTTGATCTACTGAATGATATTCATGACGTCCAGGGAATGGGCGGATGGGGCTTGATCAAACGGCAGTGTATGATACTTGCGATTAAACGAGATTTTCTTGGAATTAGAACAGATCTGGCATCGATCTCCATCTCGAGTAAGTCATCAGCAAAAGCCATCAGTAAAAGATTAGACTTAGCTAATTGTCCATGGACATAGGGAAGACTCGTTCTTGGGATTTTATGCCACCAGACGTTGTACGACCGATCGCTAGCACTACGCTCGGCTGTTTGATCACTATGGCCTACAGTTTAGATATGAACTGGACAGATTTTCGACTCGATGAAGGCATAATGCGTGCAGTTGGTGGCGGTCGAAGCTTGTCTACTTCTATCGTACGTGGTATGGGACTGGTGGTGGAATACAGCACGGATGCATCTAAACAAGCCGTCCGACACCGTCTACCTAGCAAGGTTGCAGACCAGGTACGTGTAAGGCATTATTGGTTTACTGCTATTTTCCCACATCTTCCCAACGACTTTGTTAAAGGTAAGGTATCGCTCAAAGCCAAATTTGCGACATGTCTCCGAGACAAAGCGCAGCTCACGGAATGCCGCACTGTTTATCTTTGTATAGTCTTAGCTCACAAACGTTAGTTGACTTTCGGGATTGTTTCCGGCAGTGGATCATTCCCTGTCAGAGGACTTCCGGTCGAACCATGCCTTTATCTGAGGGATATACAAACACCTGGAAGTGTGAATTGGAGACGTGCGGTAGGGGATCTGAATATATGTTCAGACGTAGAAAAAGCTTTGGAAGCCAGTTTATCGCACCAGGATCCTGCTCATAGACTCCCCGCTTTTACTGACATCCTTGGGCTGTGGTGCAGATGGCTCCCAATCGATGCCACTCTCACAAACGTGATCGATAACCCGTTCCCGTTCCCATTAACAACAATGGGCGAAAGACATGAGTCACGTAACGCGTGGAAATCTGAGCTCAAAAGGCGTGAAAAAACACTCTCGGAGCCGTGCAAGCACGTGCTAGGCTTTTATGAGGCCTGGGAACAACAACATCATAAACTCTTCGCGATGTTTTATCGACCGTGGAACGCAAAGCCAATCTTTCGACAGGCTTTTGATGCCACAACACAGTATTTCTGCTGCACTGAGGGCTTAGATTTCGACCAAATGTATAAGAACCTTATACCTTGTCACATCGAAGTCAACGCCCATAGCCTCCAGCAGGCCGAGGAGAACATCAGCAATGGACGCGACAAAATACGAGACAGCGCTTCGCTTCCAACCAACCGAGATCCAATCTTTACGGAACGTGCATACATATATGCCGAGAATGTACCAAAGTTCGTCGAGAAGATGGAGCGTCGCAGACCCAGCTTTGCGAAGTTCTCGTATGAAGATGTCTGGTGGATGATGATGATGCGTCTCCATGCATGGACTATGGGTGTGCAATGGCAGGACCGTGAGGGCGTGAAGATACCGAGCGAGCACTACGAAAACCCAGCGAGGGTGTACATCTTATGAGACCAAGGGAGCAAAGTTGCCATCTGGCGAGTCAAGCGGAATCCACATGGGCGAGCAAATGAAGACGGTCACGAGTTACACATACGTTGAATACTAAGCTGGCACGAGAAAGACACAGAAAAGACGTCACGAAACCATGAAGATCAGAACCATTGTGTGGTTGAGCGCAGTGCTCGAAACTTGCATTGCAGTAATGCCTAAGTGTATCTAGGAAGTGAATCATAAAAAGGTCGTCGCAGCATCATCCTCATCGAAAGACCCAGTCCAACCGAAAGTGATGCCCAAGAAGAAGAATCCCAGTCCCAGTCCGCGAAAGCCTAAACCCCATCCCATGCCCGTATAAACCATTTTGTAATCCGCGCAGCTAACCCGTATAGCGTGCGACCAGCCATCCCTAATCAGACGGAGAAAGAAGAAGAGGAGGAAGAAGAAAGTGTAAAAAGGGTTGCCTAAGCAGAGAAGTCACGAGCGTGAGCACGCTTCTGAACGGAAGCGACAGCAGCGAGCTTAGGACCAGGCGCATCCTCGATGGTCTCACCAACCTGGTGCCAGTAAAGGTCCCACTGGAGAAGCTCATCGCTAGCCTTGTACAGCTCAGTACCCTTCTTTCCAGCAGGGACCTGCTTGCTGTCGTCACCACCAGTGACCTTGATGTTGAAAGCCTGAGGCCAGAACTGGCGCTGGCTAACATCGCCGTTGTTGTGGATAGACACAACCTCAGTCCTGAGGACGTAGTTTCCGCTGGGGATCTCAGAAGGAATAGTAACCTTCTGGGTGTTTCCGTTGTCGTAGAAGATGGCGTCGGTGCCCCAGTAGCCGGTCTGGCCTTGGGCTTGGCCGGAGGAGTAGCGGCCCTTGCGGTAGTCGAGGAGCGCGCTTTGGTGGATCTTGAAGAACTCGAGCTTCGTCTTGTCGACGTTCTTGCAGTCGCCGTTGCAGGATGCCATGTAGGTGGCTGTCCAGCCGTGGTGAGAGCAGTCCCAGCCCTCTTCTCCGGAGCCGCAGCTGCCCTCGTGGTGCCAGTGGAAGGTTACGTCTTGGCCGGCGGGGGCTTCGACGGTGTATGGGGAGGGGGAGGCATCCTTGTGGGCAATGATGTCGGGGCTGGAGTTTGGTTAGTACATGCACGAAAGGGTAGAACTAGGGTTGGTATAAACGTACTGGCTCAGCTTGTCGCCGTAGATGGGCTGGTATCCCCAACCCTGGTTGGTCCACCAAGCAGGCGACTTGTTACCAGGATCCTGCTTGGAAGCCTGACGGAAACCGGGGTAGGTCTTGCCTCCAGCCTCGAACTGCTCGACAGAGGTGTGGCCGGCCACGGTGGAGATGAGGGCAGCTACAAGAGCGCCAGTCTGGAAGATCTTGGACATAGACATGGTTGAGTTGATGTTGGTCGTAGGGATAATGGTTCTTTGGGTATATTTGTTGGTGGGTATATGTAAAGAATGTGACAAAGAATGTGATAAAGAATGAGTGTTTTGTTGATAGCACCGGGCTATAGAATGAATGACTGGTCAATGAATGACTGAAGAGAGAGTGACTTGCTTGCTGTGAGCGTGAAGGATATCCCTCTGCAAGGGCGAGCAGCAGCCCTTAAGAATGCTCACCACCCAGCATTCCAGAAGCAGCCAAGGTGGCCCGGAATGTCCAGGCCATCATTTCGGAGGCGCTTACTTTTCGCCCCGCATTTCCCGACGCCCGTGAGGGGTTTGCACGGTGGCTTCTGCTGTCTCTGACAGGCGGCCTGCTGACCAAAGAGCTGCGCCGGCGCTCAGCTGGTGGAGTGTGTGCCTGACGCTAATGTAGGTACGAAAGAACTAGTTTCTTAGTCACGAACTGGGTTCGCCCGGCGTGTAGAGGAACACACCCACTATCATTGGTAGTCATCTGCGCGCCTACGTACGGCGTAGAGATGACGAACTGTGCCCCTTCTTATTGCATAGTACTAATTCTGTCACGCAGCTGTCGGTGTCTCAGCCTGCTGTGCCATTCTCAACCTCATGTGGAGTTTGCATACGTACATTTCGTATTCTCGAAGCCCAGACATCGAAGTCTCAAGATTTACGGTGGATCTCGGAAAACACCGAGATCAACCTCATCACGCAAAAGAACGAATCAAGAGGCGTGATGTCATGTTGGTTTTCGTTTGTAATGACTTGGGGCTGTTTTTCTCGTGGTCGGATCGCCATTCGGCTGCGTGTCGTGGCAGCAGGGGTGAATACGGGGCTTCCGCTGCCGCACGACGCCGCTGTTTCAGCCGCCAGAGGGCTATCGATAAACAGCCTATCGACAAGACCCATCGCTTCCCAACATATCACCGGCGCATGCAGCAATTTTGGTTCACTCCTGCGACGAAAACGTCTGGTTGTTTGAGACAATGCCGTGCTATGTTTCAAACAACGCAGGTTGGCGAACTCTTACCGAACGCGCATTTGAAATCGTAGCAACTGATCGCTTTCCGGCCTCCCTGGTAATACGAGCGACACGCGTGAGCACTGCCGAAAGCCTTGGTACTTTTCCTCCACTCTGGTCCAGATGCTGGCTCTCCGCTCAACGATCGACATGTCGCCACGAGGAAGGCCTGACCTTCCTCGTTGAGTTGTGCGCCCGTCTGATCCGGAGGATTCGGATGCATGCGAGCGCGTTTTGGAAGTCTGCCGGCCGTGACGACTATCGGTAGGGAGTGTGCGGCGTCGACATTAGCTTACTGACGTATGGAGATTACCAAACAAGGTAGTCAAATATGGTAGTCGCACGATTAGTAACATCGCAGACGCCCATCAAGCGCCCCGCTTTGTCTACCCTTCTCCGGACACCACAATTGGACAAGAGCGACCTCTTGAGGTCGTTTTCCATTCCTTTCGACAGTTTGAACAAGCGAACGTATGGCATGCCAGTAAAGATAGAAACTCTGTGTTGTACGCCTGGTATCTTGGAGTGTTGTTCCAGCGTCATTTCGTGGCGCAGGCCATATGCAATTTCCTGTGTTGCTGTCGGCCAATCGTCCAAGTATGGTACAATAGTCCATCAAAAGCAACGCATTGAAGTGTTCCTGGTGATCTTGAAAAGCTGCGCCGCGTGCGACCTGCATCTAAATTGCTTTTCGGAAACAATCCCATGGGTATTAGCAGCGGTAACCTACCTGATCGTCCGTCGGCATGTCTCTGTTAGCGAAAACACGCACCCGGGTATTGGTTTTGTGCGAGAACTTTATTTCCAGCGTCTATCGTGCAACTGCATTGGCTTTGATCTGCACCTTGCTGCAGCATTCTAAGGCGAACGTTCATGCGCTGGGGTCGTGTTCGTGGTTGTTTACTGTGAGCTTTTGGTGGGTGCAAAGAAAGCCGAAGGTTGGAGGCAGGGTGCGATGCATCTCCAGCAAGCACCTGGCAGTACGTGGTACGTTCGCAATGTCGTCACTGTCGTTGCTGTAACAGCCTGTTTCGAAGAACGTTGTTTGTATCATGGAGCGAACGCTAGCAGGAAACCTAAGTGCGGAGGACATCGTGGTCGACTACATACATTGACTAGCTATGCTACCTCCGCGGTCCCATGCCACGAGCTCCGAGTCTGCTTTCCTTCTTTCCAACTTTACGAACCTCGAATTTTGCGTCGTGTCACCTTGATAGCGTCTCCAAGATCACGATCCGGCACGTCGATCCCTTCGAATAGCGCTCCCATACATTGGTGCTCCACTTTCGCTGCCTTGGTGTTCATTGTCGTTATCGGCCTTACACTCACTCCGTACCGGCTGAGACCGCAAGCACACAGATCAGGGGCATCTTGCGTCGTAGCTATCGCACGAACACCACGAACACGCTTCGACTTCCGTGGGGGTAGCATTTGTACTCGAGAAGACCGGCTTGGGGGTCCGCCGGGCAATACGAAGTCCCCATTGGGTGCCGTACGTAGCTGGCCCATCTGCGCGCGACTGATGGCTACCGGCGCTTTCATTTTGTTGCCCATAAAGATGATGTTGTTGCCGCCGTTCTTGTACTGGCTAGCGAGCGCATTGAGGTCCAAAGAGAATTCCTGAATACTGATGCCACTACCAGCGTCCGAAGCTGCTTCGTCGATCTCGGCCGTCTCATCGTCTTGGCTGCCTGAGTGCTCGCTGGGTTCGTCCTCATCCGCGGGTGTATCGTTGTCAGGCTCCTCGGCGGCTGATGCCTCGCTGACTGACTCTTCGCCATCTGTCTCTTCTTTCACGCTCTCTCTCTGGTGTTCTTCTCCTTCCCGGTCCTAGCACCAAATGCCTGCATTGCATACCAAACTGCTCTGCCCACACGAGAGTCTCTCTTGTCTTCATCACTCCAGTTTGCATAGAGATTCATGAAGCTGACAGGCCCTGGGTTCATCAACGTCATCGCAGGGTTGCAAACATCTACAAGCTTGGCCAAATGTAGATCGCCCTTCCATGTTTTGCTGCCGCTTTCCTTTGATACTGGGATCTGGATGAACTGCTTTAAAGTTTCCCAAACCGCCTCAAAGATTGGCATAGGCGTACCCATGTCTTGCGCGATAGATTCTGTCTTGAGTACAGTGATTACAGTATTAACGTTCCAGTTGTAGATGTTAGGGTCGTCTTTGAACACGGGATTCTTGCGAAATGCCGGCATGATTGTCTTCCAGATGTCTGTACAGGTAGACAACATACCGAACCAGTCGAAGTGCAGGTCGTTTTCATCCGCTAGGAGCCACTGGCGAATCTCTCCGAGCAAGGCTAAGGGCTTGCGTTGCAATTCCACGGACTTCAAGAACTCCGATGTTTCGTAAGTACCTTGGGGTAAGTTTTCTTGTCGGTCCAAGATCTTCTGCGACTCTGGCTTGCACACCAGGCTGACTAACTTCATCACCCATTCGTGGGCTTCTGCTGTTGATTTGGGTTCCGCACCCATCCGCTTCAAAAACAGTTCTCCGATCACAGTTGGGTCATCGAGTCGGCGCAGTTGCTTGTTGTCCCAGGTGTCCTTCTTTGAACGCCGATTGCTCGCCTTGTTGGCAATAGAGTAGCCGCGTCCGAGATCAATCTTCTTACCCACTTCGTCGAGAGTCTTTGGCCATTCGCCGAAGAACAGCTTGTCTTGTCGACCGTTGAGTAGATATTCCATGTCAGGCCATCGGGGCATTTCCGGGTGCAGTATCCGGCTTACCGCAACATATAGCCAGGCCATGTAAAGGATGTCGCCCGCCATATGCTCGATTTTGGAAGCTCTGTGATTAAGCTGTAGCTGTAGTTCGTACTTCAGAAGCCCGCAGCGGATCGGATGCCTTTTCAAGACTGTCGCAAGTTAGTTTTAGCCCTCTTGTAACACCAGTATGATCCAAACGTACCGTAATCCGGCTCGTCTACAGTTTTACTCAGTGGCTCATGCTTGTCCTCCTTGATCTTCCGGATGAATCTTCCCCAGCGATCACGAATCGCGTAGTCTTGATGGTCGCTCAAGATGTTACGCATGTTCTGATAGAGCGAGGCTATCTTTTTGTCGGAATCCGCAGATCCCTTGAATGGCCGCTCGATAGGATCAATTTTGGACATAGGATCAATTTTGGAGAAATCCTGCGCGGCTTTACGAACAGTCTCTTTGTACTCGCGAAAAGGCGCTGCAAGCGTGCCCTCCTCTTGAAACACCGACTCAACGTCAAAGAACATCTGTACCGCTACAGTGAGCCATATAGGAATCTCTTTGAAAGTTATCATGTGTTTGATGCCCCGAGCAGTCTCGTCGACAGCGAAATGAGACAGATGAGGATGACCTGCGACGTCGAAGAACTGAGCCCATTCCAGGGTCTCAAAGACCTCCAGGGCTATTTTGTCTGCGTTACTACCGAATGACTCTCGCGTTATGTGAGATTGTCGAGTGTGAAGTGGGCCCGTCTGTGATAACAAAAATACCTTTAGGCCGCTATAGACGTGCCACATACAATATGTCTCCTGCTCGCACAGATGATCGTTTGGCCGGATTCTCATAGACGGCTTGACGAGTTTATCGACATTGTCTTTGATATCGCCGTCCCAGAAACCATGCAAGCGAGCGTAGAGCAGTGCCGGAAGAGTCCAAACAGGGTATTCCTTGGCGGGGTATCTAATCATCTTCGTCAGCTTGTGTATACGGGCACTACAATGGCTTAGCCTTACTTCTTGGGACGAACGAGCATCTGATCCAATTGATTCTCAGCAGATCGCACCAGATCGACGGCTGTATTGGCAAGCACTGCCGCGCGTGTGAGGCCGTCACCTGTCTGCCGATATTCATCCCACTCTCGCACAATCCATGCTCGCACGTCGTAGATCTCGTCAAGAAATGTCGCGATAGCGAAGAAGAAGTCGTGCTCGAGACTCTCCTCGTCTTGCTCAATCGGGATAGGGTCGACTTTGGGCAATTGCTTCTCCTTAACTTCGGTGATGAGATCGTCCAGTGGGTCCGTCTCTTCGACCGTAAGCCCGGCGAACCTGTTTTGTAGCTTGATGTTCTCAGAAACTACTGGCGTCTCTGGTATCAGAGGCTTCAGCAGTTTTGCCGCCTTTTCCAGAACGGTGATAAAGTAGGAGTGCCTGTCGTTGCTGACGTAATCGGTCGAGTGCCCTTTCTCGAACCAACTGGCCACTTTGCTCCGAGCTAAGATCACTCGGTCAAACACCTGTTGTAGCGCAGCTGGGACTTCGATCTTGGGATCAAATGAAGCAATATGTTCAGCCATCTCTACGAACTCGGAGACGCGTATGGGATATTGAACTGGGGTCACAGGCTCCGCGTTTTCTTGGCTGGCTTACGAGCTTTGCCTGCCTTTCCCCTCTTCCGCGGCGCCTTCTGCTGAGGCTCCGGCTCGTTGATAGCTCTGATGTATCCGCATTTCCCCGATGTCCATGCGAGCCAACCAGCGATGTACTCCGTGTCGTTTTTGTAATTTCGGTACGTTAGAATTAACGATCTTCGGTTTAGAACATCACTTTCGAGTGATGGGTCCATGGCGATTGAAGAGAGTAATGTTGTTCGAGAAGCACTTTCAAGTATTCACAAGGATCACAGACAATGGCGGTTGGGTCTGCGTTGATGCAGAGTACTTGGAGAACAAACGGTGAGGTGACACGGGAAGCGGAAGGCGGCACGGATCAGGGGCGGTGGGGTAAGGTCGTCGGACTAACCCTGAAAGGGCCATGGCGCCCCCTTCCAATGGAATCATGACGAAGGTTCCAAGACCCTGAAACTCTCCATCTTCTCCTCTGTTCTCTTCAAGCTGCATGAAATGCGTGGCACATGGTTTCGAAATGCTGTCGTCGGCCTGCCACTGCGCAGACTGGTCATGAGAAAATTCAGCTTGCGTGAAAGTTAGCGGACGCTTGGCCGGGCTTAGGTTGGAACGCGAGACGTCGGGTAGTCGAAGAGCTGCGGTGACCGACCTGCATCAACAAGACCTTATCATCATTCCATGGACGTGCAAGCCTTCGTTATACCCTTGCCGACGGGAGGTTGGGGGCAAGAATGATGCTCCAGGCCTGATCACCTAGGTAGCTTCTCAAAAGAAGCTTGTATGCGGGAGTTAATATTGGTCGCTGGTGTATCTTCCAGTTACTATATCCTTATACGTCCCGGACCCGATACTCTTGGCCCTCGTTCCTTCAGCAGGTGTTCGTCCAAGGTTCTCCTCGATTGTGAGCGTGTCGTTGCTTTTCCGACGTGGATGATCTGTGCACGCACGCACACCTGCGAAGCGGCTCAGACGCGTTTGGAGCAGAGAACGCGACTTCCATCAATCAGATGGGTAAGCCAATGCTCACCTGGTGTCCTCGTTATCGCTATTCTATGCACCGGTTAATAAACAATTTCAAAAGCCTCAGTCCAGACTCAGCGTCGTGACGTGGTGTTGAATTACAACGATGACGCTCGATGACGATCGTATCAAATCCCAACCCCACCAAAACTGGCCCCTACAATTACTACCCCCCGATCGACAGAGATGTTCAAAACAACCATCATCAGATCTTCGAACTTTGTTTTCCGGAAGCCAATCACCTCTTCTACCCTGATCAGGCCAATTGCACGTACCTTTAGTCACACTACCTTCAAGATGAGCGACAACAAAGGCCCAGTTACCGCATACCCTGCCACAGAAATCACACCTCAAAACCAAGAAGGCGGCCCTGGTCTAGACGCAAAGACCGATCAAAAAGCAGAATGGTCGCGTCTCGAGTTCTGGGACGAGAACCAGAAACCCTACCTTAAGGAGTATGAGGGTCGTGGTTTGATGCAAGGCAAGGCCGCGTTGATCACGGGTGGAGACTCTGGTATCGGACGCGCTGTAGCAATCCTGTTCGCAAGAGAAGGCGCCGATGTCAGCATCGTGTACTTGCCCGAAGAGGAGGAGGATGCGCAATACGTCAAGAAGAAGATCGAAGAAGCCGGCCGCAAAGCAAACCTCATGCAACTCAACCTGCGGGAGAGGAAGAACTGCGAGCAAGCCGTTGAGCAACACATGAAGGTCTTTGGCAAGCTGAACATACTCGTTAACAACGGTAAGATACTTCTACTTTACAGCAACACCATCACATGACCAAGAGCCACCAGACTAACATCCCCACAGCCGCCATGCAAGAAGCCTGCACAGACATAACCGAAATCGACCTCGACGTAACCGAAAAGACCTTCCACACCAACGTCATCTCCATGTTCGCCATGTCCAAATACGCGCTCAAACACATGAAGCGCGGCGACTGCATCGTAAACAGCGCCTCAGTCGCATCCTACATGTCCAACCCCATGCTTCTCGACTACGCCTCTACAAAGGGCGCCATCGTAACTTTCACCCGTGGTCTTGCGCAGCAGCAAGCGCCAAATGGAATCCGTGTCAACGCTGTTGCGCCAGGCATTATTTGGACGCCGCTACAGCCGGCGACGAAGAACAACCCGGCTGATGCGATGGACTCGTTGGGTGTGGGTGCTTGCCCGCTGAATCGCCCGGGTATGCCGGTGGAGATGGCGACGTGTTATGTGCATCTTGCTAGTCCGTTGGGAAGCTATTGTACCGGTGAGGTAATCCACGGGAGTGGAGGAATTGAGATGCAGGGTTAAGAGGGGTCTGAGGAAGGGGTAGTAATGACGATGGAATGAGCCAGATGAGATGACGAGAACGACCTCACGCTAGGTCGGGTTAACGTAATACAAGCATACGATTGAGCCCGGGCAATACACGCTTGTTCCTCTCGATGTCTTCCTGTATGTTAGCCCTAACACAGCAGGGCAGCGACAGCACTCCCGATTCCAGCCTTTTAATGACAGTAATAGCTTGGTAGAAGCCTCGCGCCCCAAAAATCCTCTCTTTCGACACTTTTCGCATGCATGTTGTTGCTGTCTGCTACTTTCAGCAGACTGGTCACAAAAGAACATGACATCAACTGACCGCAGTTTTAATTTGAAGAAGAACAGCGTAGGTGGTTGAAGAAGGAGAGAACAATCTTTGAGCCAGGCTTTATACACCCGCAGCAAACGAATCCCAGAACGAGGCAAGCATCAGGACATTGGTGTAGTCTTTCAACACTCCCAACGGACTCATATGTTACGATGAAAGGCGTGTTTTGAGTCTCCGGACCGGAGTTCCGGCCATGAGTTCATCACATAGCATTTTGAAACAGGTTCGTCGCTTTCATCACGATCTTGAACGCCCGTTTTAATCGCAGCGAAGCCCGCAAGCTCGCCATCGTTTTGGCTTGTCTCTCTTTTTGGAAGAGGGAAGAGACTCTTGCCATGAAGCTGTGCTCCAGAGCTTTTTGGACATGCGGAATGGGCAATGTGTAGATGAGAAAGAAGGACACGGCGCAAAGGAGAGGGGTATATATACCCCGCTCACTGCGTACTAATAGGAATGTGGTATGATAGTCTCTGAGGTTTCCAGCAGCACAGCATAGTGTTGTTTCCAATTCCTTTTAGTAGGCCGGCAAGACGGCTGCCATCATTCTTGTGTTCTGAGTTTTTGGATATGCGGAATGAGAATGTGTGGATAAAGAGTACTACGACAGCGCAGCAGGTTGGTTTATGTAAACCTTATGCACTGCTTGCTCATTTCGAGATACTGTGATACTTCCTGGGACTTCCGACAACACACCATAATGCTGATCCAGTTTCCCCTAGAAGACGGGCAAGACGGCCGCCATCAACCATGCAAGTAATTTATTTTGGATCTTCGCAGGACCAATGTGTGGGTAAAGAGGAAAGAGGCAGCGAAGAGGGTATTTATATATCCACTTCTCCCGATGGCCGCTCATCAACTTGAAGGTAAATGCTTTTGGCGATTGCGAACAGCACACCATATTCTGGTTTCATTTGTGTTTTGGAGACAGGGAAGCCAGCCGCCATGCAACTGCATCTCTACACTTTGGATATGCGGAACAGGAATGTGTGGCTGAAGAAGAGAGGGGTAGCGAAAACAGGAAGTTTATATATACAGTCCTCCAGCTGCGCGCTCATATGTTAAAAATGTTAGTCTTTGACGACTTCAACCGCACAAGAGAGGTATTGGGAACTTTCTCTGGCATGTCTCGCCGCATATGGGGTTGGTTTTGCTGCTTGCTTTCAACCAATTGACATGTAGTTGAATACTGTGTTTTTAGGATCTGGGATAATGTATGGATAAGGTTGGAAGATATCCAAGTCTTTCGCTGGCCGCAAAGTCATGACGGCGTCAAAACGTACTTTTGGGAAGAAGACCACAGGAACATAGATAGTGACTCGTGGATGTTTTAATTGAGAGAGACGAAGGTGTGGTATGAAGTGAGGAAAGAGCGACGAAGAAAGCGGTATTTTATGCTGGACCCGAGGCGATGATGCGGTAGGGACGCTTTTTAAGGCCGAGATTTCTCATGTTTTGCTTGAGTATGTCTTTTCGGTGGTCGACAGACAACGACATCACGAAGTCGTCTATGTATATGTAGTTCTGGGGCGGGCTTGATAGCACCACAGTACCCCAAGCTTCATGGCGGCCATCTGTAGTTCTTTATGACGATACAATAAACTTTGAGGGAAGAAGTCCACGAAACCATACAGCACAGCCACTCCATTTTCGGTATGCAGAGAGCAGCAGTGTGGAGTGACAGTCAAGGATGGAAGCGAGAAGACGACGGGCTTTATGTTTGAGGACGAAGTGGAGCCTCGTCATCGAAGCGTATCTCGAGACTTTCAGGTCGGACAGTCATCCAAGGAATGGTCGTTTTTTTGGAAGAAGTCCACGAAGCCATAGTAGAGAGTGGCACAATTTTTGGTGTAAAAGAAGTAGACGTGCGGAGAAATAGAGAAGAAAGAAGGCAAGAACAAAGGCGGCTTTATATGTGAGGGTGAGGTCAGACTCTGCCGTCCACCGTGTTGAGCATTGTTTGGATCCGAGAAACCATGGAGCGGCGCGGTAGAACATTTGAGAAGAGCAGGATGTCATCAGGTGAGTGCATTATATTTTTGCTAGGAGGAAAGATCACATAGGATTGTAGCCATGTAATAAGATGATGATGTTTGTTGATATGAGTTGAATTCGAACTATGTCATCTATCGAATATGCGCAATGCTCCAGGCCGAGAAGCCATCAAACTCCGCAGTAGTGTTTTTGAAAAGAGCAGACCCTATCGATTGATAGCCATTCGTTTTTGATGCAAACAATCCCAGGTGTAGAACACAAGTAGTAGAAAGCGAAGACGATAGCCCTTTTATATACATTGAAATAGAACCCCAGCATCCGCGAGAACCCTCGTTCCTCCAAACCAGAGAGTCATGCCTAACTATCCTAACATTTTGAGTAGCGCAGAAAGCCATCGAACTGAGGCGGGTGACAGTTGAAGACTTGGCCAATAGCGCGGGTGAGCTCTTGAGCACGCCAGAAGGTGCCGTTGGCGACCCGTCCCACCAAAAGCAGAACACCATAGCATTGATATCCAAATCTTTTGTGTAGAGACAGAGAACTTGCGGTTTGCTCCATAGCAAGTAATGCC